AAAAAATATTAAAAATGTAAGTTTTTAAGAAAAAAATTTAAACTTATAAAATATAAATAATATCAAAAACCTGAAGTACTTAGGAAGCTACACCAACCCTAAATTTCTAAAACCGACTGAGCTTCACTTCAACTTGAGGAATCCTACTATAGGGTAATAATTAATTATATGGTTATTGATTTCTGATTGTATGTGTGTGTGGGGAAGGATCGAGTTGGAATTTGAATTTCCACAGCTGTAAGATATGTTTTGCAGCTTATGCTAAGTTTCATTATTGATTTTGTGTTATAAATGCTATGTTCTTTTTTGATGTTTGAAATGCTATGTTCTTCGTTTTGAGTAACAGAGTTAAGGTGTCTAGTGTTTGAAATTTTCTGTTTTAAGTGTGTTTTAATCTCTCTCTCTCTCTTTTAATTTTTTTTTATTAAGTTGCTCAAATGGCCAATAAAATAAGAATATAGTCGTTTAAATATTTTTTTGTGGCTTATACCACTTACTTATATATAAAGAAAAATATTTTACAAGTTATTTTTTAAAAGTTTTTAGAAGACCTATTTAAAATTTATTTTTTAAATAATATTTATCAATTATTTTATCATCAATTAATAATTTTAATTATTATTATTTTTAATAATAAAATATTTTCAAATTTTAAAATTTAAAAATTTAAATAACTTAATAATTTATTAAGTAACCATATCCACCCCCACCATTCATCATCGGTCCTAAGCCTCTTGACTACCTTCCTCTGCTATCCACATGCACGTAACATCCAAACCACATTATTAAATTCCAACAATTTTCTCGCCAGTACTCATCTCCCTTTTGATCTCTAAATCCCAACATCCCCGACACAATCTATTTCCTGGTTCTTGTAATCCTCAATTTAATCAAGAATAACTGCAAATTAATTTCCAAAAAAACAAAACAAAAATTCCAAAAAAAAACAACCTTCTGTTTTCTTCTCCACCTAATTTCTCAACTGATTTCTCCAAAATTTTCTGTACCCCCATTTCTCTCCCCCGTTGATTTCACCCGATTTCATATCCTGCATGTCTGATCAAATGGTTCTCATCTTCTCTTTCTCTCTCCTGCACGTTTTCCATGATCAAAGAGATATATATTGATTTTTTTTTTCTAATTTTTTGATCTTCGGATAATCGGTGAGGTGGAAGAAAAAGGATTTAGGGTTTCTAGAAAGTTTTGTTTTTGGTCAAGGAAGATGGTGGCTAAGTCTCAGGTATGGCAGCCGTGTAAGAAGAAGAGGTCTTGATCAAGGGGAAGGAAGGTAGTAGTAATTTAGAAAAGAAGAGGAGTTTTGATTGGAGGGAACAAAGGCGGTGAGTGCCACGGTGGAGGATGGCGTCTCGTGCGGCCGGAGGGAGTAGGACCCGTGTGGGGAAGTATGAAGTGGGGAGGACGCTGGGGGAAGGGACGTTCGCCAAGGTCAAGTTTGCCAGGAACTTAGAGACGGGAGAGAACGTTGCCATCAAGATTCTTGATAAAGAGAAAGTCTTGAAGCATAAGATGATTGGACAGGTAATTAACACAATCTTAACGGGAGTTGTAATTTTCTGTTAATTTTAATTTTAATTTGATTGATTTACTGGTTTTTTAAAATAATTTCAGCTGATTAGATTATAGGTACATAGGTTAGGTGACTTTTTGATTGATTTCTTTGAAAATTTGTTACTTGGGAATATTGGTTGGGTTAAGTAGATAGCTTTTTATGATTAATTTATGAAATTTAAAAAAAATTAATAAAGTTAGATTACTGGTTAGAAATTACTGCAGTTTGTGCTCCTAGTGTTATTTTCTGTTTTATCACCTGTGAAAATCTTGTATTTTGCTGATTGTCATTTAATTTTCTGTCTTAATGCAGATTAAGCGTGAAATTTCAACTATGAAACTAATTAGACACCCCAATGTCATCCGTATGTTCGAGGTTAGGCACAACTCTTCTCTTTGTTTATCTTGTGTAGTGTGATAATGTGATTTATAATTAGTTTGATCTTCCTTATTTATGAATTATGATCTTGTTGGATTTTTTGGAAAATCTAAACAGATTTTAAAAAAATTTTAAGCTGTTCTCTGTGGTGTTATATTGATATTTTAAAATATTTTTTCTTATTGACTTCCAATGGCATTCTTGTCTAGGTGATGGCTAGCAAGACAAAAATATACATTGTTTTGGAATTTGTGACTGGTGGTGAACTTTTTGACAAAATTGTAAGATGGTTGCATCAACTTTGAATTTGTATCACTCTAATGGGAATCTGGTATCTATTGTGCTCTAACTGTTGATATCTGTATTTGGATCTGCCTTTTGCATTATATACGTTGAGCCAGGCAAGCAAAGGGAGGTTGAAGGAAGATGAAGCCAGAAAGTATTTTCAGCAACTAATTAATGCTGTGGATTACTGCCATAGCAGAGGTGTTTATCATAGAGATCTGAAGGTGTGGGATATTTTTCATATTTAACCTTTAACTTTTAAACAGTATTATTCCTTTTGACTTCCCTAGTTTAGCACTAAAGGCAATGAATCAATTTGTTGCATAAGATTGTAATGTTCCTTTGGTTTGTAATTCCCAGCCTGAGAACTTACTGCTGGATGCTAATGGAGTTCTTAAAGTTTCCGATTTTGGTTTGAGTGCTTTACCTCAGCAAGTTCGAGTGAGTGTTCGATCTTTGTCATACCACACTTCCTTTTTTCATTTTAGTAATGAATATCATCCAAATTCCTTATATGGGTTAAGAAGACCTACAAGACTGCAGACCACTTATCATTCTACTTTCTATCCAGTATTACTGTGCCTTTTTTCTTGATAGGCTGTAGCTTTTCGGCCAAGTGGCATGCTTGGGGTTTATTCCTGTTTGGTCACACTTATTTCTTTCATAGAAGAAAAAAAAAATTTGGAGAACCTTGGTAGCATTGTGTATTCTGTATTACATTACCTATGATGGTGATATTATCTAACAGATTGACAGCTATTATTCATCAGGTGACTTTGCACTTTTAGAATTCATATATTTATGAAACAATTGATAGCTTATTATCTTATCCTTTTAATTTAGGATGATGGGTTACTACACACAACATGTGGTACACCAAATTATGTTGCTCCTGAGGTATATTCACTTTTGGGTAAATTGATATTTTATTTTTTTATGATTCATTAATATTTTCTAATTATCTCTGCCCATCCACCTCTTAGGTGATCAACAATAAAGGCTATGATGGAGCTAAGGCAGATCTATGGTCATGTGGTGTGATACTTTTTGTCCTAATGGCTGGTTATTTGCCTTTTGAAGATTCCAACTTAATGGCTTTATATAAAAAGGTGATTGTTTTTCTCTCTTTTTCTTTCTCCCCCTATTACTGAATTCCTTTGGAATCAGATACCATTTTGTTTCTTCCTTCTTTTTGGACAAATCTTTGTAATATTGAAGTTGTTCTTTTAACCCAAGTCAACCAAATTTGAGGTTCGTAGCCAAGTAAAATGGTACCTCGAAAATTTTATCAGAATAATTAACACATGCAACATGTTTACATCACAGAAAGAGCAGGCAGTCCATTTATTCTGTCTGCTTGTTATTTAAAATCCACACTGTTACACTGCTGCCCATCCAATGTGTGGCAAGGAATTCAGTGCAGTAGACATGAATGTTTTAACTGACATTGATTTGTTGTAACTATTTACCGGTGTACTTTTATATCCTGTTGCTTGGATCCTGTAGTTGTTTCTCTTTTTCCAAAGTGTTGAATGCTGATACTTTGAGTCTGAAATGAAATCACTTTTCTTCACAAAGTTTTAGATAATTTTAGGTGTGGTTTTGCTTCTTCGGTTTTTCCATTTTTCCCTTTCAGTATCCTTTGGTTGCTGTTTATTTGGTGGATGGCACTCTTTTGAAATTCAAACTATAAATTATGGTTACCAAAGAGCATAAGATTTGTTTCAGCATTTAGGACTTCTGTTATATATTGGTTTTATAATTTACATTAAGAAGTTTCAGTCCCTTGGATCTTCTACAGTCAATATGTTCTAAGTTTTTTGAATGAGATTCCTATGTGATTGCAGATATTTAAAGCTGACTTCACTTGTCCTCCGTGGTTTTCCTCGAGTGCAAAGAAACTCATCTTGAGAATCTTGGACCCTAATCCCTTGACAGTAGGTCCCTTGATTCACTCTCTCTAAACATGTTTCCTTTTGCAGACCCAGTGTTCTATTTTAGTTGCATTTTGATTACATTGTTACTATTTATCCCCTGTGATATAAAACAGAGAATAACAATTGCTGAGGTTATTGAGAATGATTGGTTTAAGAAAGGATATAAGCCACCTACCTTTGAGCAAGAAAATGTTAGTCTTGATGATGTGGATGCCATCTTCAATGATTCAGGGGTAAGAGTTGTGTTTTTCACAACTGGGTTGTGATTTTTGCAGTCTTCTTGATTTTGAATGATAATTTTGGCAGAATTCCAAAAACCTAGTTGTGGAGAGGCGAGAAGAAGGGCCTGCGGCACCTGTCCCCATGAATGCATTTGAACTCATCTCAATGTCCCAGGGTCTCAACCTCAGTAATATGTTTGAGAAGCAAATGGTATGTTTGATATTTGTATTGAACATTGTATGTACCATGTAGTAAACTAAGTACAGTAAAAGTCTGAGAACCTTGCTGCTATGCTGGAAAATTATGTTTGTCAGTGTAGAGTCAATCAATATATTTTCTTCATGGACCAAGTTCACAAGTTCACCATCTGAAGCATATTTTATATAATGCATCTTTTATGATACATTATTGGTGGTATAATGTATTGTTTGTCATGCACTTGAGAAGTTTATTAGATTTTTGCTCAGTAGAATTTTAAGATATTATTTGATAAAACAAAATATGAAGATTATAGATCCTGGTAGCATATGTTGCACACGTGAATGGTTTAACATATCATGGCTACCCTTTGATATCAATTCTTATCTTTGTACACAACTATGAAACTTAAGATTGCTGTCATTTCCTTTGGTTAACAGGGACTTGTTAAAAGAGAAACAAGATTTACCTCCAGACATCCTGCTAATGAGATTATCTCAAAAATTGAGGAAGCTGCAATGCCTTTGGGTTTTGATGTAAAGAAAAATAACTACAAGGTTCAATCTCTTAGCAACCATTATGTTGTGTCCCTTAGTGCACTATATTGGGAAATCCAGATGGAAAAACCTAGTCTTTTCTGCAATAAATATTCATATGTGCTTCCTAATTGTGGAACTTTTGTGACATTTTTTCTTTCCTGTTATTTTTCACCTGCTTATCATACTTTGGTAGTCCTTTATATATTATGGCATTAACCGAACTGGTTTTCCTATCTGGTGCTTTCTCCTCACTGTTACAATAGTAGTTCTAGCCAGTGTCTAGAGTAGAATTTGAAAGCTTTATTTGTCTAAAGCTTACTGTCTAGAATAGCATAATGCACATGGTAGAAATTAAGATGATGTGAACTTTCTTTGGGACGTCAATTATAGCGCCACTAATTCTTTTGAAAAATAATACCTACAATTCAATTGTTAAATCTGTTCCCCACGTCTGATGTAAACCTCCTATTGAATATTTTCAGATGAAGCTTCTTGGGGAAAAAACTGGACGCAAGGGTCATTTAGCTGTTGCAACCGAGGTATGTCTCTCTCAATCTTTTTCTCATTGGCACAATTTTTGTTACAGTAGTTGCAAGTAGTTCAGCATGATCTATCCTTACCCTCCTTACCCTCTCTACCCCTTTTCTGTCTTCTTTATCTTCAGATTTTTGAGGTGGCTCCTTCACTTTACATGGTTGAACTTCGGAAGTCTGGAGGAGATACACTGGAATTTCACAAGGTATAGAACTATAAATGCTTGTGCTTTCAAGAGATAAACTGGAATTATGATATTATCAACTTTTTATTACCTTGAATTCACTTCTTTTCTTTTCATTTCTTTTCTTTTTTCTTGAATTTACATGTACAGTTCTACAAGAATCTCTCTGTTGGATTAAAAGACATTGTTTGGAAATCAGGAGAGGAAGCAAAAGAGGAAGAAAGTAATGGTTAGCATATTATACTGCATCTCTCTTTTAATACATTCCATTACCAGTTCCCCAACGATGTCGATTCTATGCATGAAATTGACACCACCCCTCTTTCAGTCATCTTTTGATCCATTCTGTCATCGTTTTCTTTCCATTGCTGCAGCTTCCAGTACAAGTGCCAGTACAGGTGCCTCTAAAGCTCCTGCAAAACCTCGGTGATTGCCCACGGATGACATGCTATAGATATCAGTTGCTTGTAAAGAAAGTTTTTCAGCTTTTCTGGTTTGCTTGTTTTAGCTTAATGGTTTGAATGAGTTTGACTTTACCATTGAAAACTGGAATCAGATACCTTATTGGGGGTTTGAGATTTAAATATATTGAGTACTGTGGGTCTGTACCAAATAAATAAAATAAAAAAAAAGTTGTAAACTTGTTGTCCTTTAGTTTACTTTCTCCCAGTTGATTTAGAAACTTCAAAATTCTTAAATGTTTTAAAGTTATTCTAATGAAATTTCACTATGTGACATTATGAAGAATTAAGATGCAAAACAGCATGGGGTTTGATGATAAAATTATTTGTGTTTCTAATTACAAGTTTAGAATTTCAGTTTTAATTTTTATATATAATATAAAAAAGGCCAAATGGCCGCAAAAAAATTAATGTACTTGCTATACTTGGAAAAGAAGATAATGATTATGTATTTGCATTAATAATTATTAAGCTTCTCATTATATTTGGTTAAATGTAAATGTTATAATTATAATATTATATTTAATTATAAATTTATAATTTGAATGAATTATTAAATAAATAAATATATATAAATAATAAAAAAATTAATTATATAATAATATATTATATTATAAATTTATAATGTTAGGTGATATTATAAATAATATTATTTTTTTATAAAAATTGATATGTTATATATGGGGCTGATCCATAACCCGAACCGAAACCGAAACCCAAGCGGCGGCCCATTTTTAATCGGATCCTAATTACGCGCCACGCACCTCTATCCTACACGCGTAAAAGGGAGCAAAGAACGTCAACTTCCCCCGCACTCGACTCATTCTATCTTTCCCGGCCACAGGTATGAGAGAGGAGGTTATCAGCTCCGGCGGGACCTTGGATCCCACTCCGGCCGCGAGGTGCGTCCTATAACCCCCTCTCCCTTGCTCATTTACTGGCATTTTTAGGGTTTTTCTGCTTTGACTTTGCCATTCCATTGATCTGTTGCAAAATTAGGGTTTTGGGACTTGTTTTATCTTTACTTGTTTGGGCCTTTGGGTGTTTCTGGGATGCAATTTGTAGCTGTGGGTTGTCTTTGGCAGCTGGAAGGTGGGGGGCTGAGAAAGCTTTTATCAAATTAGAAGCTTGAGTTCTTCTTAGAAGCTTTCATGTTTTGATTGTGCCCACTGATAATAATAGTCAGGTTAAAGGAGTT